TCAACTGCCACTAGCGAGCACTATGTGAAGAAGGCCAAATGCGAGGCAAGCAAATGGCGACCAGAGCATGGTTTTGGCGAAGCTGGAGTGGATGAGGTGGTCCGTCTGCCGTACAAGGATCCTTGGATTTGCTTTCAGATAGTTTCGGACGCAACAGAGATACAGACAGAGTGAGAGAGAGGGAGTGAGATAAGATGAGATATAAGATGATATAAGTGGGTTGCCTCCGTGTCTGTCTTCGGCCCCGGTCCCAGCCCCTGCAGCTTAAGGTCTACGCGGAAGTTTCAGAGTACGACAAGGTGGATCCAGAAACAGTTTGTTCTGAGCAGGATTTCTACAAGCTACCCTTTGAGAAGCAGTGCTCAGGATTTGACAACAAGAGTCTTTATTTATCTTTATTTTGTGTTTAGTGCTTTAGCCTCTTTTCATCCAAATATATTATTCCCAGAGTTTGTGAGGACCCGTGGACTATCAGAATATTTTTGAATATTTTAGATTTTATTGAATCTACTTTTTGGAACACCTTGTGATGGGGGATGTTTGCTGGATTCGTAGGGTTTTGGGGTTGTGCGGGACCTTCAGAATAATTTCGGGAATTGCTGCTTGAGGCGGGAATCGTGGAGACTAAGCCTGCTGGAACTCAGCGCGTTTGTGCGTTTCTGCGATTCTTCCAATGGTGACCTTGGTGCTTTTGCTGCGCTCGATGATGCAGCGAAATCAGAGATGGTTGCGCGGTCTCCGTTGCGTGTGTGCAGGTGGCGCTTCCCTACTCTGGTGGAGCATGTTCAGGCCAATGGAGGTTTGGAGGAACCCAATCTTATACTAGCAGATTTGCTGGCGTGGTTTTTTATGGCTTTTTCATGCTAATTTTTCATTGTTCAGATTTGTTCAGTGTATTTCAGTGTATTTCAGTGCATGGGAACACTTTGTAAGTGAGGAGAAGTCAGATCCCGGCCTGTGGAGGGATGTGATCTCTGGCCTATTGGATAGCTGGCCGGATATTCCCTTACGAGTGGATCGTCAGTGTGACTTGGGGCAGGTGCTGCACGGGATTGCTCGTTCTGTGCAGGTTCACTATGGGGCCGAGTGGACGCAACGGGTCGCTCTGCTGGTGCCTTCCACTTTGGAGCGGCAGGAACTACTAAAGCTGCAGAATTTTCCTGATCTCATGCTGACCGTGCTGCGCCTTGCAGAGGAACAGTAATCTTGCCTTCTGTGTTTTCCATAACGGTCTGTTCCAGACATGAAACTTTGTCAGCCATCATTCCTTCTTCAATGTTTTTTTAATCGTCTATCATTCGCCGCTGCAGATACACGGACGACCATTTTGCTCTCATGGTGCTCCGAGCTGGTGAGTGGATTGCAGCTGTGTACGATGGAAAGTGTGACTCGGGCATCTTGGAAGAGGCCAAAAAGGTTGTCAAGACCATTGGCCAGCAGTGCTCAGAGAAGTTCCCTACGTTTCTGGTTATTTTCAGCCGAACACGTTTTCTATGTTTTGAAGAGTTTTGGAATGTTTTGGAGCGTTTCGGTCTTTCGCCGTGTGCAATTGGTACCGTAATGCACGAGCTGGCGTGTGAGGTTGGAGAACATCGCACTTGAACACGCAGAAGTCCCGAAGCAGTTGGACCAATGGTCTTGTGGGCACAGAGCGATTCTAACTGTCCAGCTGTTACTGCAGAAAGGGCTTGGCCTGCGGACACCGGATGGATGGTTGCGGCCTATGTCGAGGATGGTCATTGCAGAGGAGGAGATTTCTGCAAGTGCCCTTGATGGAGTGTGTGCTGGAAAGATGCCAGCGATGCCAGTGAAGAAGGAGCCACCACGCCTGGTCAAAGCTCCTGTGACAACAGCAGCTATCCGCCCATGCACACCAATCAAGGTGAAGGCAGACATCCAGGCACAGCTGGATTCCAAAACTTCGCCTGTGAAATCACAGGCTGCTTCGCGGCGTGGCTCATTTCCCCAGACTACGGGCAGTGCTGAGGTTGCACCGCCGTCCCGAAGCCAGCAAACCGAACCTGGTCTGAGCAAGAGCTCCCCAATGAAGCAGGAAGCGAAACCAGAGCCGAAACCTACCAAGAAATCCCCACCAAAAGGGCAAGCCAAACCAGAGCCGAAACCTTCAGAGCGTGTGACCAAGGACGACCCAGCAGCACAGAACAAGTCGAAGCTGGAGAAGTCAGATGATGACATGGACATGTCATTCGAAGATGCTTTGTCCCAGAAGGTTTCTGAAATTCTTGAGCTGCGCCAGACCAACCTCATTGAACGCAAGAAGATGCAGCGAGCCAAGAACATCCTGTCGAAGAGCGGCCTGGACTTCAACATGCACTTCCAGAAAAAGCATGCAGCCAAGCTGGAGAAAGGACACTGGCATGCTTTCCTGCTTGGCGTCGTTGGCGAACCTGATCCGGCACAAAGCGGAAACACTCCTGGCCTCTCTTGTGTAGTTTGCCGGTCATTGCTCCACGAGTTCAAGATCCATGAGTTTGCAGACATGATCAAGAAGGAGGAGGAAGAAAAGGAACGCAACAAGAAAGCCGGAAAGCGAGTCAAACCAGAGGGAGATGAGAACACCGACCCCAATGCCATGGACATGGTTCCCTACACTGGCCAGCCAGAGCCTTTGTACAAGCGGATGCGGCCTGGACGTCCTTGTCGTGGAGAGACTACCAACTTTGACGCGCTGAAGTTTCTTTCCGAGCATCGTCCTGGTATGTACAAGATTCTCACTCGGGACGAGGCAAGGAGATTCCAAATTGTTCCAACATATTCAATCGAGTTCTAGAGATTTCTATTTTAGATGTGGCTGCGTGCAGCTGGCCCCTAATTAAAGTTTGACCAGGCCCTCCAGCGCTTGCCTGTGAACAAGAGATCCCAAGAGGACATTGCGGCCGAGATGAAGAAACGCCCAGTGTTGTGCAATGTTTGCGGTGTGTACTTCCACCTTCCACACTTGAGCAACAACATTGCATTGCACCTGGTCCTGTTAGTATTTTTATATATTTTTATGTATTTTTATGATTTTTGTATGTATTTACGAAGCTTTTTTCTACGTATATTGTTTTTCCTTTTGTACTGTATGATAATGTGAATAATAGTCATTAATGGTCTATGAGTAGTCCAATTCCAGATTTAGCGGATGCGAAGCAGGAAGCGGCATGAGTCTTCCCAGTCCCACAATCAAGCGCTTCGTGCGGAATCCCTGGATCAGTTGGAAAGTTGCAATGGGCTGATCCTTTCCTCTGAGACCGGTAGAAAAACTTTGTTGGGTGTTGAGGAGGGGCATGTGCCAAAGTATGTGGAGTTATGGTTGAACTCTGGCTGCATCGCCGTGATTTCTTCAATCCTGGACAGCGTGCATGTGTCTCGGACTCCCCAAAACGAAATTCTTGTCCGTGATGCTTCGTGCTTGCAAGAGCCTGCGCCTGGACTGAGTTGTGTTCGCGGCTATTCATGTTGCAAGCAATGTCTAACAGCGGCCAACAAGCCCAAGATTGTTGCAGCCATCAAGGAATGGGCCTTGAAAATTGCACATGTGGACTTGCTTCACATCACTCTTCAGGAGAACCAAGAGGAACAAGCCCAGCAAGCAGACTTCATGAAGAAGCTGTTTCCAGAATTGAGACACGAGCAGTTGCATTCAATCACGTATGCAGATCTGATCGTGAAGGTCCGGGGTATGTTTCTACATATCCCCATGGGAAAACAAAACGCTGGCCTGCAATCCTTCATCTCGAGATCGCTCAAGTTCCTCACCCCCAAGATGTTTGCAGGGGTCCCTCCACAGGTGAAGTGCCAACTCAGCACCTATGTGGATGCACTCACCTCCGGCAAGTTGGACAGCCAAGAGTCTGTGGCACTGGACCTCATTAGCAAGGGGGCTTTGCGGGCAGACGATGTTTGCAAGGCGCTGGTGCCAGCTTTGCTCCGCAAGGCAGACAGGATTCGCCGAGGCCATTGCCAACGGACAGGTGGCCAGGAGGGAAATCTGGAAGGGCTTTTGTCTCTGGGATTTGTTCTTGGAGGTGCCCTTCAGAACGCTGAAGTGCAGAAGACTTTCGGCATCTCCAGAGCCCATGCGCGCAAGGCAGCGTGCCCTCTCACATCCGAGTTTTTGCCCCGCTTTTTTGCAGCCGCTGGCGATGTGCTTGTGGACTCAATTTCCACTGCATTGGGCCTCCTGCGAAGAGATGACCCCATCCACCGGTACATGATGATCCGGGACGAGGTCGTGTACGCAGTGTCGTACAATTTGATGTACGGATTAGACCCAAACGATGCCAGCTTGGGCATCGTGGTTGGAGGAGTTCACCCAGAGTTTGCAATGATTGAGGGCTCTACCACTGGTCTTTCATTGGGAAAGGATAACTTGGCAAGAATCCACGCGTGTACTCTTGTCAAGAACATAGACTGTCGTGATGGAGGCTTTCAAGTGCAACATCTTCCAAAGAAGCGGGTCTCAGGGGATGAGTTGAAGGAGCTGTCTGAGATGCTACACGCAGCGGCCGCTGCAAACGGAGATGTTCCTCCTCTATGCTTTGCCATCGTGCACGACTTCCTGCTGGGATTGGTCCCCCGCTCTGAATTTGAGGAGTTGCCATTCTTTGAGCATTGCTTTGCAAAGTCTCTTCCCTTCAGGGTGCCACACTTTCCCTTCAAGGTGATGTGCTACAAGACCGATGAGGCACCCCTGTTCGGATGCTGCGATCCCAAGCACGTCATGAAGGCTTGGGCCCGTGCCCTGCGCTCCTCAAGCCGGAATTTGAAGATGTGACTTGTCATGTTGTTCTTAAATTGTCTTTCAATTCAAAATTATTCCAATGGTATGTGACATCCGGTATTGATGTCACAGACTACTGGAATAATTTGGAGCACTAATCCCAGATTCTTGTCAGCCATGCTGGCTCTCCAGCTGGATGCCTGCCACATCCTGCCACCATATCTCCTTTCAGGTACCTTGCC